GGTGAAATACATCATAAATGCCTCTGACGGAGAATCATTGAACTATTCTTACGTCTGATATGTTCAAATCGTAGATTACATTTTACGTCTTCCATAAGTGATGAATTGTGAAAAATCGAATTTCAGTGATATTGTGCTAGTTCAAGGAAGAGTGGTCTGGTGTATTATCCATGAAAAAACCATTAAATAGTCAAATATTTGCTAAAATGCAGCCGAACGCAGCATTCGGCAGCCATGTTGTTTGCTTACAACAACGTCTGACTCAATCTTACAGTTTTGAGAAAAATACGATTTTTCTCAACGTATGGTGTTTATTAGCGTTCAAACGAACCAGACCGACCTGTAGCGAAGTCTACCCGTGGGTACTGTAACCGCGAAAATTTCATTTATGTAATTATCGAGACGAAAAATGGAATCTACGAAATCGAGTATCTCTCTCGCGCATGGCGTATACGTGCATATTTTCCGTTGTTTGTGTGAGTGCACGCATACAGGTCATAGCAATGAAAAAAGGTTTTAGAATTTTCCACTGAAAATCATTGAAATCCTCAGTGTATCCAAATTGAAAAATGGCAAATCCTTAACAGAAGATAGTAAATAAAAATGTTGGAAATTTAAGAAAAAAATGGGATATAGGATTGTTGGAATGACCCAATGGATTAAACGAGATATTAAACTACTAATTGCATATTCCACGTTTCATTTAATAACACTTTCTGTCACCTCTCGATCACCCTCGAGTTGGAATCAGCGTCATCTGCTGAATTTACTAGGGCATCGATCTTTCTTCGTTTTCGCCGCGAGGTATTTCACGTGATCGAATCAAGCTCACTCGTCTCTCAAACAAAGACTAATCGGTTATCAAGATCTTCTTTGATCGAGGCCAGATCGAGTAATCTATTTTAAATCCTGAAGAGTGCCCCGGATCACCTGTTATCTCCGCCTCGTGTGGCGTGCATCGTACTGCAAAATTTTCTTAAACGTCGATCTTGCAGAAAATGTCGCGTTTTCGAGCCATCCTTGGCACTCGGCGTTGGGAGGGATGAAAATTTTCTCTTCCTCCGTCGACGAGAAAACGAGATTGGCTTGCATCCAGGTGTCTCCTAGCTAGCGAAACCCTCCTCACGTTAATTCAAGGTTGGCATTGTGGCTAATCGCGTTGCACACGTACAGTTCCGCCAAATTTCGTTATTTGTCCAAATGGACTGCGGATCTTTTATGCAAATACTTTTTCTTTAAAAAGGTTAAACACAGCGATAGAAACTTTAACAATAATTTTTAAAGGAGCAGTGTAAAATTTAGAAGAAAAAAAAAAGAAAATATGAAATACAAAATTAAATTAAATTTGGAACTCTCTCCATAGTTGGTCCCACCGGCCGAGGGATGGGGGCTCGATTCCCTCGTTAATTAACAATCCTACAGAAAATTGCTAGTGTGGAACTAATTTAAAGGTAATATCGTAGCACATGCGAGAGTTCGACACGCGAACAAATGGAAGAGCAGTAACTTTCGATCGATTGTTCCCCAGAGAGCAATCTTGCTTTTGAGACAACGAGCCACCTTCGGTTAATTGAAATCGGTCTAACGTTAATTGTGCCTCGTATTATACAAAAGGAAATTATTATAATATCTAACACAAAAAAAATGACGCTTTTGTTATGTGAAAAGGAAAGTTTACGAAATATCAAAATATCAAATACTAAAAATAGACAATTAAATCCAATGTAAGGACACTATACGAACACGCAACGCATCCAATCTGTAAGTTACGCAGAGGAGGGAAGGTTTGCAGAGCGTGGGGTTGCACAGGTGGTCGCAAACGATCAGGAACAGCCTAATTATCCGCGCAGGCACGAACCGTACGGCTAATTAAACCAAGGAATCGTCGAACACCAAGTTACATCCAGACGATTGGCTTTACGAATCATCCGGTTCGTTGTTCGAATTATAATAATTCCCGAGGAAAAAGCCTCGAGACCAAAGTAAACCGTCAGATTACAGATTATCCTCGTTACGCGATTTTTTTCATTCGTCTCTGATCCCCTCGAGCTTCCTCCGGTCGGATTTTCTGTCTCCTCTCTCTTCGTGGACGAATTAACGCGAACACAGACGGATCGTTCAACGGAATGGAACGTGAAATTATTAAATTTTCCACGAAACGTTTTATCATTGCGTATCTTAAATTTTCTAGCTAACAGAAACCATCCCTTTTCATTTATAAATGGACTCGAATTAAAGAAATTGATTGAACAGGACATTTTCCGATATTGATGTTTAGAAATTAGTCGAATCTAATTAACAGACTCTTTGGATTCGACTAACGTAGGCGGCGATGATTAACCTTTCACGCTTCGAACCTACCTTTTCACCGCGTCTTTGCAAGCCGATGTTGACCGTATTTTTCTTGCGACCTTTACAGCGAAATAATCGACAAACGTTTGATTAGAACGCAAGGAATTAATTATTTCATGGTAGAATAAAACAGAGACCTTCAAAGGCGAATTCAATTTTCTCGCTTTTCTTTTACTCAGCGGGAAAGTTGAGGCAGACGGAATGCAAAAATGGCGAAGGATGGCGAGATCGCGGCGTGCATATGTCAGATTTATAGTAGCCATAAACGAGGTTGGCCCGACGTGTCGCGAAACTTTTGTATGTAGGTATGTACTTCTATTTCACGACCAAGTTCCGCGCTGTCCTCACGCGTGTACATAAATACATACGTGGCGGACCGTTCACTTTCCAGTAGCGCGAAGACATAAACCAAGAATATACGATCGTACCCTGCGCCTCGACCTATGCTAATTTTCCCTTAAGAATTATACTACAACATTGGATCCCATTTATGTATTTCTTTTATATACCGCGTGTCTTTTCGAAGATGGAAGATTCGTCCGAAGAGTCAGCGGCGCACGGTACTTAAGGGGGGAACCTCATGTAAAATGAAATTACCGCTTATATCGATAGGAAATTTCCTCGGAAATGTGATAAAAAAAGTTAGAAAGTGATCAGAGATGTTCTTGTATGTTATTTTCAAAATAAAGTGAACGGTTGTATTGGGCGAAAACTCCTAAAAAATTTGACTTTAACAGTGCTGAGATAGAAAGTGAAGAAGAAAAAACGGCTGAATTACAACTTTTTGAGGAAGTGGAAGATCTGTTCTATGGCCCTGGAATCGCAGATTAACAAAAAACCGCGGCAAGTTAAAATGAATTACGATTTTTTCACGATTTTTCTGTTACTCAAGTTTTAAACGCATTTTTCTCGAAACGCAAAACTTCGCATGCCGTGCAACGTAGCTTAAAAACTAATTACTCGATCTTTATGAAACTTGGCATATATATTCTATAAACAATTGGCCTTAGCATGACGAGCTCCGATTTCTTTATTTTTTATTTAAAATACTGTTATTAAAAATTTGTCATAACCGAAACTCCGGGTTTGTTTTTTTCAAAACTTTGCCATTTTCGCAATTTTGAAAATTTTAATAAAAGAAAAATGTCATGCTGAGCGTTTTTGCATAAGTAGCTATTCCATTTTAATTTTTTTGTTCCAGATCATTTTTGTGCATTGTACGCTGCACGGCGAATTTACAGGATGCCATTTTCAAGCCGCCATTGCACCATCGTTATTAAGAATTAAAATTTATAAAAAATATTTCTGTTTACATTATAACGTTAATAAATGACACTTAAAATTTTTAATCAATCTGCGCATTACATTTTCCAAAAAAAATTCTTGAAAAACAGACCATTTACATGAGGTTCCCCCCTTGAAAGATTTCTCTCGGTTGCTCCTCCTACTATGTATTCTTGTATATGTATACCAAGAATTCTCGCACTATGTTTCCTTATTTTCGTACCATTTTCTCCCTTGTTGCCTCTTTGTCTTCTTGCTTCGTTCTTAATCGTATTTTTATACTTTCTCTTGAATCGTATTTTCTTTTCATCATGTTGTCGTTCCTATAACAATGTTTCCCTTCCTTAAGTTCCTTTATCTTTTGTATCTGTACTTGTATTTTCTTCTGTAAGCCCTTGTTTTCGCGCTTCATCTCCGGGAAAAGTCTTGTATTTTTTTTCTGGTACATATTTCTTATATCCGGTATGAACAAAATAATATAGTTTAAACGAAAATGATTTCGTTACGCTGACCATTTTCGAGGTGTGTCTTAAATGTCTCGCCGTTCAAATAATCCCGTTTAATCCATCGCGTCTTATCTTTTATTAGCCAGTGAACACGTTACGACGCGTGTAACGTGTCGACAGATATTTGCAGAATCGTGATAACAATAACACAGAGCCCGTTTGATCACCGATTGCCCGACCGTTCTCCAGGCGAATTGTAAACCCAAGATATTTGAAATTGTATAGGAAACTGTAGCGAAGAATTGAATTCGTCATCGATAAACATCGGGATCTTCCAGCAAGTAGAAGAGAAATGATAGAAAAGAAATAAAAGGTTTCCGTAACTGGAATCAAAGGTAAGAAATAAAAATGCGAAGAGAATTCCCCGGTTACCAATCGAGACAACACCGTGTTTATTCACTTTCTCGCTTTATTGGATTCCAATATTACCCACTTCTTAGTCTCCATTTATTATTTTCATCGTTAGCTGCGCGACATGATGACATTGCCGGTCGATGAAGAACTTCCACGTGCCCTTTATACCGCTCCGATGAATATATTTCCACGAGCTGTATAAGACTTCCCTTTACGGTCACGGTTAAACGAACGGCCCTTTAATAGGCTCATGTAAATTTACGCTTAATTTTATGCCCGATAATAAGCATGGAAAATTTGTTCATTGATATTAGAAACGATGTCATTACTGATAGCTTTATTTCGAGCTGCCTCGATCTTCCATCGAGTATCGAATATTTAGGTTAGTCAACGTGTCATGAATCATCAGTAAGCTTGTCGAAAAACGCCTACTTTGATCACTACTACATAAACGGTGGACTTTTTCTTTTATATTAGTCATTTGTGGAAAAAGAGAATGCTTACCGATATTTTGATGCTGTAATTTCCTGCATATCCGCGCCTCACGTTCGAGCTTCTGAAAGTCTGAAACAGAAAACAAACACATGTGCTAAAACGATTCGGATAAACGGACAGGGATATAATAGAAACTAACATGGCGTTTGTAGAGCCATCGGTGGGCCGATCGTAAAACAATGAATCAAAGGAATACCACGTGCAGTAAAAGCATTCCGAATCGGATTGAAGCCAGCTTTATCGCGAAAGTTTCACGGTAACGACAACCGATGCTGGGTATAGTCATTACCGCGAAATCGAATCTCTCAACGAGCTCCCTTGACGAGTTTCCTCGTGGGTAATTCACCAAGGGCTACGATAAAATTGGATTTATCGATGACCGAGTCATTTCGAGCACGATTTCCTGTTTCTTTCTACCCCCGTGCGATTCGACGATACTCCGTTGAGAATCAAGCATCTTATCGAATAAATATTCTTTGTACTGATCTTGTATTCTTTCAAGAAAAAATGTTTGGATTATAATTGACAAATTAGCGTGAGGATCTTTACAAGCTCTCCTGTAAGTACCAAGAATCTGTCCGGAAGGTCGGCGACGCACGGTACTTAAACAACACTAGTCCCTCTGTTTCGAGAGGAACTTAGATGTTTAATTGTCAGTACTATGTGATAAATAAAATTTGGACTTGGAAAATTTTTTCTAAATCTCTCGGAGTATTCCTAGAATCATGTTCCCCTATATGTAGATACCAAGAATCGGTCCGAAAGATCGGCGACGAACGGGTTTTATGGTTTGGACTTAAAAAGTCATTTTTGTTTCGCCTAATTAGCAAAATATGGACTTAGAACTTCGTCTGCTATCCTTCTCTATAGGTACCAAGGGTCGTTGCCCTATGTTTCCCTATAGGTACCAAGGATCTCTCGAAAAAGTCTTATCAAAACACGGAGCGTGCGTTTTACCGCCTATAATTAAATCTCCAACGATAGCGGCGCTCGACGGTGTTCGTTCACGTTAAGCAAGCAGAATTAACGAGCACCTACGACGCGAGAAGGGTGCGCTAAGAACACTGGAGATACACGAGGAGAAGCAAATTGGAGAACAGACCACTTGACGAAAAAAAGAAAGAAAAAAAGAAAAAAAGAAAAAAAAACTGGGTTATTTCGACGACGTCGTTTCCCTCCTCGCGAACGATCCAAATTGCACCGTTCCTCGAAAAACAACGCGACGCGGATTTAGAAATCATCCAGTGGCAGGTGAATCGCGAAATCTCATTAAATTAATTTTTTTATTCCTTCCTTTGTGAGCTAAATATAATTCGCTCGATACGAAATAATTATCAACACTTGAGAGGTAAAAAATTAATTACGATTCTGATAGAAATATCAGTTTTCTATTATGTGAAGGGTATAATAAAGACTATAGTTAATTCACGACACAATAGCTCCTATATTTGAAAATCGATATGCTATCGAATATCGACTCCTACATATCTTACATCTAAACAATCGATAGCTTCGAGTCGTTTGTCTTAACGCTAAACACCTCTGTTCCCAAGTACAAGGTGGCCACTGTTAGAACCAGGTCAAAATGTAGGTACTTACACCTTCACCTTTTCAACTTGCCACACGCTCAATTCCCATTTGTCGTCAATCAAACAGACATACAAAACTTTTGTTCATTAATTTTCTAGTAAAAGTTGATTTCGAAATACATCAAATAAAAGTTCTAGGTCCCAAGGGTATGCTATTCCACCAAATTTCTTCGAATTTTAGAAATTGCTATCTGCATAATCTCCAATGCCACATAGTTCCTTCAACAGAATTCCAAATTCTCCAGAGCCTCTGCACACAATTCGAAATTGTACAAAGTTCTTAGTCAAATTTGCTCGGCAAACGTATTCAAATTCCATTTCTGTTGTTCCTTGTACCCCTTTTCTCCTGTCCCTCGGGGAACGCAGCTGTACAAGGATGCGTAACGGCGCGGTGCGTCTCCTCGCTTTTCCAGCGAATCTTGTCGGTTTTCCAGCGTCGGTTCTGCAGTAAGTACAGCGCCGTCTGCGGTCAAGATTAGGCGAAACAGGATGAACGGTTAACGAGCCACCCTTGTTTGCACTAAATTCGTTAGGGGGTGCACCGTACCGAAGGCAACGAAACCACGTGTATACACGATACAAGAGAAGATTTCTGAGTACGCCGAAGTGTAAAGTTTTGTAGGAGCTAAAAAGTACGCGAAGTAATGCGTCCTGCTTAATGTTACGTGAAAAATTCTTCTTCTTTATTATCCTTGTCATGAATAAAAAGCTATTGTAACTCAGAAAACCTTTGAAAAAGGAGGATTTTTTTAAAAGCACCATTAGGCTACTTAATATGTTACCAGTCATTTTGTGTTAAAAATACTGACGGTGCGTTTATGTAGTCATTTTTATTAAACTTTAAGCTTTAATTTGATGTATCGCAAGTACTATTTTGCGATACTTTTATGTCATCGAATCATATCAAACTTCCTATGCTTCGAAATCGGCTACTGTTTGTTTGTATCTCGAACCAGCCATTTTGTGTTAATAACACTAACGGTGGGTTTATGTAACAATTTTCATAATACTTTAAGCTTTAATTTAATGTATCATAAATGCTATTTCGCGACACTTTTATTTGATAAAATCATATCAGACTTCTCATGTTTCAAAAAAAGGAACAAAAAGAAGTTCATTAGTATACTCGAATTACCTGTCAATAGATCCTGAAATTCTGTGACTCCAGACCTTAACTTTCAGACCTTAAAACAGAATCCATAGTTCCGAAGATGGATAAAAAGGGTGAATCGAATGACTGAAATTCCCGTCCCTCGTTATTTTGTATCACGTCCAGAGGGAAGGCAAAGCCGATACAGAGAGGATAAAAATAAGTCGAACAGAATCTTGGTTGTTTGCGAGAAGTGCGTTGAAACGTTGACAGACACGCTGGCGGTCGGCTTGAGCCGACTGGGATAAATCGCTCGCGTTACAAGGCCGATCCACGCTGCTTGCTTTGCGTTCGATGGAGCACGAATGTCATGAAAGTCGGCAAAAACTCTTTCACCCTTCGACGATGCTTTCCCAGTGACGTTGGAACGTGGACCAGTGATTAGCGTGCAGCCCTTGTTCGGTCGAGCGTGATAAGAACGTATCGCGTGAACATGCATATTGCATTTCCATGAAAAGGGATGCTGCGTTCATTCTCGGTTTCTTTCAAGTGAAAAGCGTGAACTTGACGATGAAAATTCTCTTTGGATAGCAACAGGCTCCGTGAAAAGGTTCGCACTGAGTTTTCTGATGAATTAATTAATATCTCTTGCCCTCTTTACAGAATCAAAAAACGCAAGGGTGGAAAATTTCATGGTAATCATCGGTCATTCGCCTGTGTAAAAAGGCTCCCGATGGCGCAAGAAACGCAAAAGGGAATTACTTGGGACAACGAGCCCTCTCTGCTCGATAAACATTGCAACAGAGAAAAAAGAAGCGAACAGCGAGAAAAGTAGGAACGTGTGAACGTTCCCAGCATCCGTACGGTCCCCTTTCAATTGCCGTGTGGGGAATTAGAATTTCAAATAGCGCCACCACCGACGAAACTACTATGCAGAAAACGTTCGATTAATTATTCGTCGAATTGGAAGCACCGCACACCAGAACTGATCAACTGAAATTTTCGATAAACTTGCCAGAGTTGCGAACGTGATATGGTCACTTCAAGAGTAACAGTTTCACCCTTTTACAATTTCGATCATTAACATTGCAAATATTATATTTTTAATAATATTAAAAAGAAGGAAATTTTTCTTAGACTTTCTTTGAGCTCTGCTTAAACTCGAAATATAAACAAATCTCCTCTACAGTTGTCATAATTAAAAAATAATAATAATAATGAACATCGCACTCTATTCATATTTTTTTACTAATTTAAATTTATCTGATACGAATTAGCTTTCTGCCACATATTTGATCATTTTGTCCCGGTATCCCAACTATGTTATTTCACTTATTTGACAGAACAGTGGAGTATTTGGAAAGTTGGCCCATGCTCGGCCCGTCCGTCGATGTATAAATGGAGCTTTATTCGATTCAGAAACGTGCGGTTGAACGGCGCGGCGGCCGTGGCGGTAGGTCAAGAGGTTACTGGAGCAAGGTCGAAGCGGATGGAAGAGGGTGCAAGCGTGGCATCCCTCTCTTGGCCGCGAGGGAGAGACACTGGAGAGGCCAGTGAAGAGGGATATAGCAGAGGGCTCATCTTCCCTGCCTACGGCAACCTTTTTTTTCCTCCTCGTTACCTTTTGCCTCTGCAGAGAAACTGGAACTGGCTGCCAAAGATAGAAGCGGTTTCACGGTGCACGCCCACCACCCCTCGCCAATTAATTCCCGTGAAGCAACTGTATGCAACCTTTCTTTTTCTAATACCTTCTTCGATCCTTTCTAATGCGTCAGTGTTACAACTTTTTCTTTTTTTGTAAATTGGATAATTTAAGGGCTGGGTTGGTGTTGAATGTTAGAATTATTATTTATTTTATGGCAATTTCGTATCCGGTGTTACGGAGAGACTCATAGAAGAGGGATATCTTATAATTGAAACGGTGATTCACGTTTTCGGCACGGGAATAATATTTCCTATAGACTGTGCCAACCAAAACACTCACGAGATTCTGTTTTTTTCACACTTTCTCTCGGATATTATTAAAAGCGTACGAGAAATGGGAATTCTGTGACTAAGAAGGTTGTTAAAATCGAATTGTATAATTGAGTTTCACTCAGTTTTGATCGTGAAAAAGGGAGCAAATATTGGAAAGCTTTGATTGTTAAAATTACACAAGAAATTGAAAATGTTCTTCTGGGAAAGACTTTACGGAAATAAAAATTCAGAAGCGACGTACATTCCCGACACGGTGTTTGTAAATACTTTTGTTCCAAATGGGAAGTTCTATTTTTCTTAGGAGTTTAGGTGGTCGAAAAAATTCGATTACAAGATCAAACGAAGCTCGGTCGGTTCGAGGAGCGTAGCGACTTTTTGCTCTTTCTGGGATTTTTCACATCCGCAAACGAATTCTTGACCCCGGATTCTGAACGCAACCCTCGAAAATTCCTCTTGACGTCCGGATTCTAAATATCGATCGAGAGTCTCCAAGCGAAAGAATTTCGAAGTTTTCATCGAAAGTCAACTTGTTGATGTTGACTATTGGTGAAACAGAGATGTTTCGCATGTCGAAATTGATCCTTTACCTTTCAGCAGCACGTCAGAACCAATTTCTGAATTATCAATAGGAATTTTCAATAATTTTACGCAATACTCTAGCTAGATAGAACATCCACTTCATAATTATTAAAAAGTGACTGGTTACATTTCAATCTTTCATAATTCAACAAATTAGTAGAATTATATTAGTCATATGTAACTGAGAAATAAAGAATATAAAATATGTGTGTCGACAAATTATATCTTCCTTTCCGTACTTCCACGTTTCTATTTTCCTCCACCCGGACATTTTTTATTTTCTTTTCTTTTTTCACAACGCATTCCTTAGAATTCTCCGAGTTGTCTCGCCAGTAGACAACGTCAACGATAAATCTATCTTTAGCCAGACAATTTTCAAATTCAACATTCTACTTCAAAAACAAAATCATGTATACCGAAACAGTCTTCTTAAATATTATTAATTACAAATAATTAAAAAAAAAAAAAGATGTTATCTATGAATATGACGACAATTATATGTTTTGCAATGTTTTATGCTCATTGTTGCCGATCGATATTTTGATAAGATTTCCTGATTCCGAATGAATCGACTATGTTAATAAACAATTTTTTTTTTTTTGAAACAAATTTTATTAAAAAAATTCACAACACATTCTGGACCATTTCTAATACGGCATTGGCACACTGTTGATCACGATGGAATGTTGGCAGTTTGACAACGGCGTTGCTCGTTGTTTTTAGACGCTAAGTCTTTGGTAATATAGTACACAGCTCTTTCCGCGATTCCGTATCTAATCGCGAAAAGTAACCGAACAATGCATTGCAATTAAAATAGAAACATCCCAAAGAAGGAATTGTAATTATCATTTTCACTTATTACAATCTGTCATACGCGATCAATCTTCTTCTTTAGCAATTCAATGGAAAGCTATTATTTCTTTTAAAAAAAAAATTAATTGAAATGAAATATTGTTTGACTAGAAAGCTGTCTCAAGTAGCCTCGTTTACATAGTGCATTAATGAACAACCATCGAACGCGACTGCTAGTTTCGCATCAAGGATTTTTGCATGAAACTAACGAAACCCATTTTCATAGTAACGTAGCCTCATCAAAGCCCTGCTGCACACTCGTTTCAGTTAATAACGCTAAGTATTTTAAGAGCCTCGTTTACTAATACTTTGATAGCCGGTTCGGTGTATTCGTAATTTTCATGTTTAACTTATTTCTATCTATAATTTAACTTACCTCTGGCCGTGAGCTTTTTCGTGTTTATAATTTTTGCCGCAAACTCGTGACCGGTGCTCTTCTGAACGCATCGTCGCACTACCGAGAAGGCACCTCTGAAAAAGAAAAGAAAGACGACTGGTTAATTCGAATTCAGCGACGGAAATCTCGTTAGAAACACGATAAAACTGTTTAACCGAAACTCATCAAACCGAGAGCTAGTCTGTTAACGATCATGGTGAAACTTTCTCGATTACCTAATCCTGATAACAGACAGGGCGCAATGAAAATTAGGGAATATCGGAAATTCGAATATCTAAAGATGAGAGATTGCCGAAGAGATTGATTGTTCAGAGGAAACTCGGGATCTGAGTGAATCGAAGGTTGGATAAATTCAAAGGGAACTCTTGATAAGTTCCTAAAGCATTGATTAGCATTAAAACATTCTAATTAATACCATCAATATTAAAAATTAAAAGCTTTATATTAAAACAGATTTGTTATTTCAACAAAAATTAAAAATTATTAAATAGTTGACCTAAAGAAGAAGAAAATAATGAAAATTTGGATATCAAACGTAAAATCTGTAATGTATTAATTGTGTCAAATAAAAGGAAAATTGGATATTAAAAAGAAAAATGAAACGCAGGAGGTTATACGGTGGCTAAATTCGAATAGAGAATGAAGAAAGAACAGGATGAAGCAATTCGAGGCCTTCACTTAAAAGAGGCAACTGTTTTGTCTTTGGACAGTGCCCATGGTCTTCGAATAATCGGATGACGAAAAGAAAAGAAGCTAGCGTCGGTGAACGATGACCTAGATCTCTTCTATTGTAATTAGAGAACGAAAAGAAAGCAGAAATTGGACCTTCAGTCTCGTGATTATTCTTCGAATGTTATTTGCTCCCGTGCCGTCGATTCTTCACGATGATCAAGCTAACGATGACATTTATGGATCGTTTAACAAATTATTGTCTTTATTCATTCTTTCACGTAAAATTGATCATTGAAATACGATCACAATTTTATTTTATTTTATTTTATTTTTTTGTTGTAGTTAAAATTCAATATTTTCATAAAGAATAGGGAAGCAAAATGAAATATAACAGTATTGTGCATAATTTTAAAAGGAACATCAGTAATTCATTCAAGTTTTCCTTTGACCTTTTGAAAATGAAATTTCAAGCCACCTGACGCTCTACATATGTGGCTTTGGCTCTGTCAAGTAGTATAGTCCGTCGTGGTCGGACCATCTTCCGCGTGAAGTGGAAGCTACCGATCAATGGCACCAGACATAAACGGATACGCCATGCAATTTTTTCATCAAAATCCAAAGGGTAACTAATATTTTATTTAACCGTATGAAAAGCCATAATTGAAAGAGAAGGATTACGAGCTTTTTGCCAGCATCAATTCCCATTTCTAAAACGTTCCAAACTTAAATGACTGTTTCATTCTCGAAACGGATCAGTGATATCACCCACCAGACCTCTCCAAAAGCAACTCTATACTCTTCAACTATAAATTGGCTGAATAAAAAAGGAGTAAAAACACGGGAGCAAGCGAGTGACTATAAGACAAAAGGTCAAGCCGGTCGCAGCATGATCGTTTTGCAGAGGCTAGTCGCGTATCCTTCCTTCCTTTAAAGTAGTTCAAGGCAGAGCGCATCAGCGCAAACGCAACGTTAATGTTTCATCCTGCTACGGCGTCGGCGTCGTTGCAATCACCAGGAGCAGGAGCAGCAGCAGCAGCAGCAGCAGCGCCGCGACGCGACGCGCGACGCTTGGCTGCTGCGCTGCCTACCACGCCAGTCGGTCTGCGATGAAAAAGGGCGAGGCGGTCGCTTACTTAGTCTCCACAGAAACCGATTATTATCAGAAACATTCATAAATTGATCTGAACATTTAATTACCTTCTCTATCAAATAAATATAACACTACTGAGACACAACATAATATAAAAAACTCGAATGAATAATCCAAGATGATCATTCAGATTACACCTAAACCTAAACAAAGACCAGTTTCATCAGTTAATACACTCGTGAAGGGTTCGATTATACTCAAAAACACCTTTCAAGTTCTCCAAAGCCCTTATAAATGGTTTAGATTCATGTCTACTTCCAAGTATCACCTCTTTGCTGAAATACTCATGAATTGTTCAAAGCTACTCCCAGTATACTTGGCTCCCGTGTCTAGTTAAGAGGCAAAGGAGAAAGGCGTAAAGAGATAGAAGGGAAAAATATCGTCAGAGGAGAGCACTGACGCAGAAACGATGGTCGAGCGACGACAGTGTTGGCCTTGAATCGAGCCAGTTGCTCGACGACGTGCAACTAGGGCGTGCAAGAGCGACGATGATCCTTCAAAGTGAAGTTTCCTGCCACCCAACCACCACATTGCGCCTTTGCAGCTGCACCACTACCACGACACGTCGATACCTTTAAATACTCGCTCGACTTTCCTATATACAACCGTGTTCCCGTACGGTACGGATCCTCCATACCTAATAAGCACGGAAAATGGCTATAAACGCGTCCCAATGCAACCCGTTTTATCGTTCATCGATTCTCTTCGCGCCAACTCATGGAACTGCGAATGAAGATCGCGTCCACGTATGGATGTTTCTGTTTTATGTGGTTAGAGTCCTTGGGTCCGTGAAAGTAACTGAATACACGGGAAGTTTGCGAGTTGCTTTTGTAAAGGAGATAGCCCGTCCCAAGGATTCTTGTTATAATTATAAAATCTTTAATTACCTAAGAGAAGTCTACATCGCACCTGAGTTACTCTTATGTTAAAGTAGATATTAACCTCCTTCGGGTTACATCTGAAAAAGTAACCAATCCAGTTACTACGAGAAGCTAGAATTAGAAATCTCTACTTCAAGGTACCTTTTAAAAACTTGACCTTGCAAAGATATCAAAGTACCTCCTCGTATCTTTCCCAATAACCATGTCCCTATGAACATCCTAGAACTAGCTAAAAACTTCTGGTCTCCGGTTGTCCTATTCCAAGGTAGGAAAGTTTTAATAACGCGAGAAACTTTCGACATTAGCCAAGCTCATGAAAGCACAGAAAGCATCCTTGATGTTGTCTAGCTTGCCTGTTCGTTCGTCTAGTTACCTTCTAGGGATCCTTATGCTATTCTTATCCGCCAACTTCCTAGGGTTTTCTCGTCGGTTCGTTTACGATTGACCGTCCCGCTGATCCCTGCTGACTCGGACGAAACTTTTAATAACAGGAGGAGAGATCGGCGTGCCGATCGTCAACCGGAAATCTACTATATAACTAGACGTCTTATAAATAAGTTGCGCGCGCACACCCTACAGAATCCTAACCCGTGGGATTCTGGCGTCGGATCAACGTCGTCACGTGACAAACCGTAAAACGTATTCCTGCATTTTGTATCGAGCTAACTGGTCGCCCTACTTTTCACCGACCAACGATCGCATGCATGCGTACACGCCATTAGGTTAACACGATACGTCGGAAAGGAAATGGGAGAGCCTAAGTGACTCTACACCCCCGATACTCGGATTCTACTGTTTCGAGAAATTCGAAAGGAAAGCGGGACACTGATTGCTAGTGTCTCTATATTCCTATCGTAAGAGATCCTATGGAGCTTCTAGGACGCGGACAGCATCTAGGATTTCTAGGATGACGACGATAATGAGTACCAGATCAATTTTCAATTTTGCTTATCACAGATAACTTGCCATGAAAATGAATTCTAATGTTCCTAAATGATTCCGAGAAATTCTAAATGGTTCCTAAATGATTTCACTAAAAGACTCGAACGAAGGCCTAAAAAATCATTATATGCTTCAGTTTTCTCGATAACAAAAAGAATTAGTCCTTTGCAAAGGTAAAAAGCGAAACTATAGTTAAGCATCGATCTCGGTTCGCTCGTAGGATGATTTCCCTAGGGACTCCTCGTTACCGTGTTCCCCAACAAGCCGTTACGATATCACGATCGCTTCCGTTAGAAAAGCTAGAAATTCGGTTACCCTCACTTTTCATGTGACCACCTGATACGTCTTATCCAAGCGACTTTGCGAATCAATAACAAAGGTGCAAACCCCGTAAGTTATTTTAATGAACCGTTTCCATTTAACGCGACATTCGCGATCGTTAGATTGTCGCGTATCCCTTTTACACTGACCTCAAGACATTTTCAGCCTGGCGTCCGAACAAAGCTAGCTCCTTTCCTCTCTCTCTTTCTTGTTTGTTTTGTTGTTTTTTCGTTTCGTCGTCGCTTGAAAGCTTTTTTTCGCCTTTCTGTCGTTGACGCACGCGTGTGTATCGTTGTGTCGCGCTATTCCGTGTCAACTGTCTGCCGAGAAGCCGGTGGAACAATGGAGCGGCGAGCCGAGACTGGCTGCAATAGTTCTGTCGACGTTTCGCATTCATCCGCGACCACGATGCAAAAAGAAGAGCTGCCATGGCGGGAAATAATAAAAAAAAAAAAAAAAAAAAAAAACAAGGAAAAAAAGAAACAGGGGGTAGAAAGGAAAGAAATGAATCGTTGGTACGGCTTTGACGTCTAACAGAAACACCCTACCCACCGATACGTTACCAATGTCGTCGAACCATATCCTAAAATAAATCCTGAAACGATCTCACTTCCTGAATCGACTTAACGCTCGAATCCGCTTTTCATTTTTCCACCGAGAACGGAATTTGAAAGTTTCCAATTAGAGGATTTACAAGTTCGTCCCGTAAACCGTCCGCGACCCGAAATTACTATACTCTACGAATCCATAAATTCTCCTAGGTTACGTAAACCTTGGTTTAACTATTAACTATTCTAACTGCAATCAAGAAAGCCGCGACCCAAAATTCTAATCACCTCAAGATTTATGGTAATTTCTGATACTGACCATGTAAAGCTTTGGGTCAGAGACATATCGATCGAGTGTAAAAGTACCTAAAGAAATATAGTTAAAGGTACCGGTGCCATTAAAAACAAAAAGAAGAGGGGAAGCTTATAATCTACGTGCATCCAACCCTACTTTTCCCTACCATGACGTACAGTTTCCGTTTAAACGCGGAGGATTCGTTCACGTCCGGTTGTGTTGCGCGCCGTTTTTCGTCATCTATAAAGCTTATATACATGTATGG